TCGCAATAGTCCGCGTGGGCCCCTCCAGGCTTACTTCGAGTCGGGTAAATCCCTTCCCATCATCCTCACCTCATCGGCGTCAACATCTGAGCCCGTATCATAGCCATCCTCGGCAATGCTTTTTCTTTTCCTATCGGCCAGCGAAGAAGGACCATCAGCCGGTCACGAGGCCGATGGCTCATCTTGCCGTAAAATATCAGAGACTCTCGCAGACGACCCTTCAGCTTCCATCATGGCATCGGGAAGGGACACGTCCTCTGCGGCCTCAGCCGATGGCGGAATCTCAGACGACAACTTGATGTCTTCGTCAAGCACTATTGTCGCCGTCTCACGGATGAATAAATCGCCCCTTATTGAATCCACAGCCCGGGCGACCCTATCACCGACATCTACCAATCTTCTCTTACGGGAAACCAAATTCCCACCTCTCAGCGATGGCGCTTCCTCCTCATTCACTAGACGATGCAAAGGGGAAGTCGGGAGATCTACTGTCGATATATCTGCATACGGAGAAGAAACCGATGCTAAGGCAGCAGCAGGTGGAGCCGACAACCGAGCAGACCTGGCTGCGATGGAAGAAGGAACAGAAGTAGCCGATCGGGAAGGCCTAGCCATGGCCACAATGGGAATAGACTACAATGAAGAGGCAGCCTTCCTCTTACGAAACACAAGAGGAGGAGCCCTCGGCCTCCTCGAAGATCCTCGAACTGAAAAAGAAAGATTGAAGGTTATCACCACTAAGAATACACTACAACGAGCAAGCGATCATGAAGTCAAGATAGCAAAAATTTATACAGATGAACTCACCGGCCAAGAAAGAAGCAGGCCCGAACTTCTTGAGAAAGCTCGGCCATTCACGAATCCCCACAATGTGAGGCAGAACTCGGTCAACTCAATTCGAAATGTCCCCGACCAAAGGAGGGGGTGTAGTCTTGGCTGTACGAAGAAGGGACAAAATGTCAGAACCGGCGACTAAGACAAATCAAGTGCTTTTAGCAAAAAATAGATACTTACGAGTGTAATCCAAGTCTCACGAAAGTCGTTCGCGCTGGTCACCACGTCTTCGGTTCTAACAAAAAAGTAGTTGAGCCAGAACTGACGATTTGCCTTGTCATCCATCTTCACCATGAGGCATTTACTTCCTCGGTGGCGAAGGTGAAACATCGTCCCCCTGTAGAAGCTAGGGGCGAAGAGATGCATCAGATGGCGGAGTGTGACCTTGACCCCGGCCAATTCCACAAACTTTGTGAGCATCCTAATAGGCTTCTAGATGCATGGAGAGAGTTGGGCCGGGCAAACGCAATTCCTCCGCCAAAGGTAGAAGGGGAAGAGTATAGCCAACTTGGAAAGGGTATGCATAGAACGCGCAATACCCGGGGCGGTGGATTTGTACCATATCGCGCCCTGCTGGGACCAGATCGATGTGGGCAGGAATGTTGAATTTTTCCCTAAGTTCAGCTAGATCGACCTCTTTCATCGCTGACTCCGAGACCTCGGGCTCTCCCTCAGGCGCCTTCGAAAAGTCGCACCTAACTTTCTCACTATGAGGAATTATTTCTTCCACCGTGAGAAAATTCTCATCTTTAACGGCGACAGAGTCGCCATCAGCGCGATGGGTCATAAGCACCACCAAGGGGACAGGGTCAGTTCTCGCAGCAGAACTAGAGGATACATTAGCCATTTCTTTTTGAAAGAAGATATTCAGGCAAGGAAATCTGAGAGGCAATAAGAATCGCTAAGACCGGCAAAGAAGATATGCAGCAAGGGAAGAAGAAGAAGACACAAGGTTTTTTATGAGAAAAATGCGTAAGGAGCAAATGAATGTCGTTGCACCTATCTTTAAGAATTCAGGCACCAAAACCGAGAGACTATGCCATCATTACCTGCACTGGAGTCGAAATGGCAGCCCCTAACTGACAGTCACACGGGAAACGACACAGAGCATCGGAAAAATGCACCATAATGACGCATGACGTCATGACGCATGACGTCATGACGTAATTCTGATGCGGAAGCGACACAACCCCAAAAGTTGCGGTTCACGAAAGGTCACGATGCCATCTCGTCCGAAACATCACTGCTCGACTCGCTCGTCCAAATTTTGCCAACTGCAGTAAACATAATTCGCTCATTAAGGTCGCCAGAAGCCGACCTTAATAAGCGGAGGGACTAATTGTATGGGTCAAAATTCGTCTCAGTACTTGGGACTAAGCAGTATCGAGAAAAGAGTTGGTCGAGGTCGACCAGGAGATGGCGAAGCCCGTGGTCGAGATGTAGAAGATGGTCAGTGTTGAGCATCGTAAAAAGAGCTGTAACGGCTCTTTATTAAAGCAGGATATTAAAGAGAATATTCCATTGGATATTCTTTGTATGTGTACTACTAGGGTTTATTGGGGGTATGTCCCATATAAATAGGAAAAATGATAATGAATGTGGGCATGCGATATTCATTGTGATAAGAGCAGACCCTAATAAAAGATTTTCTTCCTCTTGAAAAGATAAAAAGAACACTTTTTTATGAAGATTCTTGTTCATATTATCATGTACTTTTTCACCAGATCTGAGAAGATTTCGAATGTTCTAAGACCTGTTTGTCATTCATCATTGTCAGGAGGAATAATTACCTAGCTCATTATTTATGGGTGAATCACTCCTCCTATTTACTCAAATGTCATTTATTGCTATTTATTATCAGCTTCTCTTCCATTATTGCTTGTATTTTATGACTATTTAATGCTTGTTATTGTCAACCCCTTGTCGGATCTGTCCCACCTCACACACGTTTTCGAGATTCGCATCTAGAAATATTATCGTTAACTAGGTTTAACCCATTATTACATAAATATAATAGTTTTAGCCGAAAATTATACTTTTTGGTCAAACAAGCACTAGTTTAAACAATGTGTTTCAACAAGCTTTCTGCAGTGAATGCTGTTTTCTTATCATTGGCCGCATAGAGTTTAATTATCTGCTAATTAGAATAGCAACATCACATCCTGATATGGAAAAGTATGTTATCGACAACTTGATGCAGGACATTGTATATAAAATTTGATTTTGCATAATAAAAAGTAGTACAACTGTTTTTGGGTTCACTGTGCATCGTTATTGTCAAACAATATGTAAAACTAGGTGTTTGCCAACAGCAAAAAATACATCTCCTTTTTGGAATTATTAGTATTTTGTATTGCAGTAATGATTTTCCAGAGGATTTGACGATATAATAAACATCCATCTTGGAATACCTTCCAGCAGGAACTGAAATTGTTCTATACGTACCACTGTGCACGTTAAGGCAAATGATAGATCCCTATCCATAAAATAAAGAAAAGAGGCAATAATAGATCCCATGCATCGGTCATGCCTTCTATAATTGATTCAAGACACATAAGAGGTAACTAATGATGAGAGGCATGGGTTTGTCAACGATTATTCCTATTGATTAATGTATTTACTCTTAAAGTAACAAATGTATATCCAATATGCTACCTGTGGGCCTCTCGATGATTTAGGACTAGGGATAGTAAGTGGTAATTCTTAAATATGATTGATAAGGATTCATATAAGGGAAATGGTCAAAAATGCTCTTGAACTATTTGAAATAGCTCAAAAATGTCTTTCGTTTGTTTTTAGTACCAAAAATATCCCTGTCGTCTATATTTTGGACCACAAATGCCTTTAAACCGTTAGTCTTGCCATTGAAGGTGACATAGCAGTCCAACTGGGTTAGATTTGCTTACATGGCCATCCACCTAAGCAATCCAGCATGGCAAAATTATTTTTTCGGAAAAAATATTTTTTCGGAAATTTTTATTAAATACAAAATCAACACTTATTCCGAAAAAAGTAATTGATTTTGTATTTTAATAAAACATTCCGAAAAAAATAATTTTTCCGGAAATTTTATACTTTTTTCGGAAGTGTTGATTTTGTATTTTAATAAAAAATTCCGAAAAAAATAATTTTTTCGAAAATTTTATACTTTTTTCGGAATAAGTGTTGATTTTGTATTTTAATAAAAATTTTCGAAATAAATAATTTTTCCGGAATTGTTTTTTTTTTTTGGGAATAAGTGTTGATTTTGTATTTTAATAAAAATTTTCGAAATAAATAATTTTTCCGGAATTGTTTTTTTTTTTTGGGAATAAGTGTTGATTTTGTATTTTAATAAAAAATTTCGAAATAAATAATTTTTTCGGAATTTTTTTACTTTTTTCGAAATAAGTGTTGATTTTGTATTTTAATAAAAAAATTCGAAATAAATAATTTTTCCGGAAATTTTTTACTTTTTTCGGAATAAGTGTTGATTTTGTATTTTAATAAAAATTTCCTAAACAAATAATATTTCCAGAATTTTTTTTCTTTTTTCGGAATAAGTGTTGATTTTGTATTTTAATAAAAAATTTCGAAAAAATAATTTTAAAAAAAAAATAATTTTGCCATGCTGGATTGCTTAGGTGGATGGTCATGTAAGCAAATGTAACCCAGTTGGACTGTCATGACACCTTCAATGGCAAGACTAACGGTTTAAGGGCATTTGTGGTCCAAAATATAAACGGCGGAGATATTTTTGATACTAAAAACAAACGGAGGACATTTTTGAACTATTCAAATAGTTCAAGGACATTTTTAGCCCTTTTCCGTTCATATAATTGGACGTAACTTGTTTAGGACATTGGGCGTAACTTGTTTAAGACTGAGACGCTATCTTATTATGGAATAATCTATACATTTTCCAAACATTTGGCTGGATTTTGTATTGAGTTTTCCACGTCCCAAGAAGAAGTCCAAATCATGATTGGAATATTTTTTCTTTATTAACATGACATATGATGTTGCTTGTACCAAAGCAATGACAATATTCTACCCTCCCATCACCGGCAGTTGGTTAGTTGAATGGGCCAGCTCTAATTAAGAATTTACAGGTCTTCCACCAATTAAAGCATGAGTATTTAATCTAGATTTCCACACAGTTATATAATCAAAGTTCACAATTATTCGCATCTTCAACTAGTATCATTTGCAAATCACACATTTCTCTAGTATTTCCTACTCCAAAGTCTTCGCTTGTCTTCTTCCCTTTCCCTCTTCCACGAAATTGCTTTCCATCTCCTAAAATGTTTCGATCTATATATATATATATATCCAACTTAAAGAAGAATATCATTCTGTGTGCATTTATTTCTCCTTAAACCAAGAAAATGGCACTCAAAGTCCTTACTGCCCTTGACTCAGCTAAAACACAATACTATCACTTCAAGGCGATTATCATCGCCGGTATGGGCTTATTCACTGATGCATACGACCTCTTTTGTATCCCTCCGATCATGAAACTCATTGGTCGAATCTACTATGGATCATCCAGAGACGTGCCTCAGGCCGTCACATCCGCTATGGTTGTGACGGCCCTTTTGGGCACGGTTATCGGTCAACTAGTTTTCGGCCGATTAGGTGACCTAATCGGCCGACGCAAAGTCTATGGCTTTGCTCTCATGATCATGCTCTTGAGCTCTTTTGGTTGTGGACACTCTATATGCACGTCCAGGACATGTGTTTTATTCAGTCTTGGATTTTTTAGGTTCTTGTTAGGGCTTGGGATAGGTGGAGATTACCCTCTATCAGCAACAATTATGTCTGAATTTTCTAATAAGAGGACAAGGGGTGCGTTTATTGCTGGAGTTTTCTCAATGCAGGGATTTGGAATACTTGCTAGTTCTACTGTTACAATGATTGTTTGTTCTATTTTCGATCGTGCTACTTCAGGAGGAAGTGAGAGATCACTTCACAGTGCAGACTTAGCTTGGAGAATTATACTAATGATTGGCGCTGTTCCAGCAGGGTTTACTTATTACTGGCGTATGATGATGCCTGAGACTGCCAGGTAAATTTGTTTCAAATCGTCTTGTCAAATATATTGGGTCATATTGTATTTTTTCGAGATCCGTGGGGAAGAGCCGGACCATAAAGGTTTACTGTACGTAGCCTTACCCTGATTTTCTGCAAGAGATTGTTTCCACGGCTCGAATCCGTGACCACTTGGTCACATAGCAATAACTTTCCCGGTTACGCTAAGGTTATCCTTCTTTTCCGAGATCCCGGGAAATTAAGGGTCGGACCACAAGGGTCTATTGTAAATAGCCTTATCCTGTATTTCTGCAGAAGGCTGTTTCAAAGGCTCAAACCCGCATAGCAGCAACTTTACCAGTTACTCGAAGGCTCCCCTTCTTTTCCGAAATCCCCGTTTTCCAATATATTTGTCTTGTGAATTCTCTCATAAACTAAACTTGGCACGTAATTTTTATGGATAGGTATACGGCTTTAGTTGAAAGAAATGTGCCACAAGCAGCTAAGGACATGGAAAAAGTACTCGATATTTCAGCAAGTCAGATTGCTGAGGAGTTTTGTGTTTATCCAAGAAATTCACCACCCTCTTATTCCTTTTTCTCCAAAACATTCATTCATAGCCATGGCCGTGATCTCTTTGCTTGTTCAATTTCTTGGTTTTTAGTCGATATTGTTTTCTACAGCAGCAATCTCTTTCAATCCCAAATATACAAACGCTATCTTAGTAAAAAGCAAGAGGTAAATGCTTTTCAAGAAGCTTTTGAAGTTGCAAGACTCCAAGCTATTATTGCAATTTGTTCAACAATTCCAGGCTATTTCGCGACTATGTATTTTATCGATCGATTTGGGAGAGTCAAAATCCAAATGATGGGATTTTTCTTCATGGCAATAAGTTTATTAGCAATTGGAATTCCATATTATTCATATTGGAATAATAACACCAATGGTTGGTTCATGTTTTTATATGGCCTAACGTTTTTTTTCTCTAATTTTGGTCCAAACACAACTACTTTTATAGTGCCCGCGGAACTTTTTCCTGCTCGTTTCAGAACAACATGTCATGGCATTTCTGGGGCTATCGGTAAAGTTGGTGCAATTATTGGATCAGTAGGTTTTTTATGGGCTTCTCATAATAAAAAAGATGATGGTTATACTAAAGGGATTGGAATGACAGCCTCGTTAATACTTTTAGCTGGAGTTTGTCTAGTGGGAATGATCGTTACATATTTTTTTACCCCCGAGACAATGGGAAAATCACTAGAGGAAAATGAGAATATTATCAGTGAACATCATCAAAGAGAAAATAGTGCTGTTACAGTTTAAAGATTAATATCTCCTAATCTTGTTTTGTTAAGTGAAATTTTTGTTGCCTTGTTTTCTACTTTGAGTTTCCACATATGTACATATTAGTGCATAGACTTGAGGTGAGTGTACTTCAGCACCATATATGTCTAGGGAATGAAGTTGATTTTGAGACCAACTTTGTACTGGTTAATTATGTGAAATATGTACACCTTCTGTCTAATATTATTTGTCGTGTTTTTCTTTTACACGTCACTCAAGAAATACTAATTAGGAAAGAGATTAGGCTATTATATTTTTATTTATGTCTTAAGATAAAATCTCTTTTCATTGAATATTTATTCTCCATCCTTAAGAACAATTATTAATAAGGGTAAAAAAAAAAAAAATCAATTTGGTCAACTTTTAAAATATTGAAGGGAGTAGTAGTTTTTTTAAGTTGGAAGTTGGTGTACAAAGTTGCAGGCCATATATCATTTTCCAAGAACAAGAAGGGAAAACTTTCAATATTTGCCCTCATAACTTTGACTTCACTCAGCTCGTTTTTGCTTATATTTTAATCTTTTAATTTTTCTATACCTTTTCCTTTGTCCTTTTCTCATTGGAAATTCCTTTCCGTACCAGCCAATTATCTGATTTTTCTAGGCGCGAAAGAAGTATGTAAGAATAAAGTCGTAGGAGGTACAGTTAAATAATAAAGAAACAAGAGAAACCAATATTAATTCAATAAAAACGTAACATCGTACATAGAGTGTTTTAGTATATTATTATTTCTTTAATCAAAAGATAACGGAATGCTTCAATCAGAAATAAAACATTTAGACAATACACTTGGAAATTGGTAGGTGGAAATTTCACTTCTTTTTGACCGGGAAAGAAACCATTTTGTTAATGCCACATTTGCCTTCACCTTTGCCTGTATTTCTCTTCATCCTAATGAAACCTTTCTCTCCCCATTTAGGTCCCCAAGAATTCTTAACAATGATATAATCTGCTCCTTTTGTGGTTCCATATCCAACTGCTGAAACCCCATGATCTAATTCTGTTCCACAATGTCCATCAAATACTCCCTGCCAGTAAGAAACACACTCAAATTTATCTATAACAGCTTTGTTTATTCCGTTAGTTTTTTATTGTTATAACAAAGTGCTGTTATAGAGAGCATATATTATAATATAACATGAAAAATCAGTTCCAAAGAAAACTTGGCTGTTATAATGAAGTGTTATAGAAAATCGATTTTTGCACTTTTAGCATGCGCCAGAGACTTCGTCAGCCGTAAAGATGTTTAAAATTTGTATAATTTTTGTATATAACATACATAANGAGAGAAATATATATTTTTCGGCTATTATTTTGAGAGCGGCTATACAATGTCATTTTTCTAATTTTCATATGCAATGCTATTTAATTAATACTAGTGAGTTTAGAAGTGTTTTTACCCCACTATAAAATTGGAAATCCCTGCCAGAAGCCTCAATAGCCACACTTAAAGGTTGGTTTGCAAGTGCTTTCAATAGACTTTGCTCATCATTGGTTGGTACATCACGATATCCATCAATTGTTACCACCTCAGATTCATCCTGAAATATTAAAATTAATTAGTACCAATAATTAGCATTAAGAAATACTTTTAACATTCTATGATTTGGTAATTAGTAGTAATTAATATGGACTTACTCTCTTTTCATCACAAGTTCCTTCTTCCATAAGGTAAGGATAATCATCTTCTTTGTGAAGACCTCCATTAGAGATGATGAATTGAAAAGCATAATCCATTAGGCCTCCATTGCAACCATTGTTGTATGTTGTGTCACAGTCTATGAGCTCTTGTTCCGACAACGATGTCAAATTCCCTGTCTTTATTTGGTTTATTCCCTCTACTGCCGCTACCGTTGAGAATGCCCAACAACTACCTGCACCCACAGTCAGTATATATATAAATGCAAAGCTATCGAAGAAGAGGAATAGAAAGGTTCATAATAAACTAATAAGCTTTCGCCCGGAAACAACTTTATTTTTTCTATCTGCTTCGTCGAAGTCGGAAGGAAATCCTTTTATCGGTATGCCATTTACTGCTTGATTGATTAAACCCTTATTGAATACGTACTGACAGTTTGGTCTATATGATCTAAATAGGCAGCATACCACATGAATCTTGATCTGTGGTATTGTAACATGTTATATTATATATATATTTCGGGTATATAAATTAAATCCCTATTGTAAATGTGCTGACTGTTTGATCTATATGATCAAAATAGGAGAAAATTCAAAAATAGCCAGATTTATAAGTGGTAATTGAAAAATAGCCACAATTTTAAAAGTAATCGAAATTTAGCCTCTTTTAATGTAAAGATAAATCTGAACAAAAATACTATTCAAAATTCAGAAAATATTTCAGCATAATATGTTGGAGTTCGAATTTTTTATATGTGAAATTCTAGCATAACATGCTGGAATTTCATAATGTGCTGGAGTTCCAACATAATATGCTGGAAGTTCATACACGGGTGCTCCAATCTCCAGTATATTATACTGGAACTTTCCGTTTGCTGGAGTTCCAGCATAATATGCTGGAAGTTCATACGCAGGTGCTCCAATCTCCAGTATATTATGGTGGAACTTTCTGTGTTGCAACAAAATAATAGCTATTTTTTAATGACTTTGCAAGCGCTGGTTATTTTTCAATTACCAGTCCCAAACCTGGCTAGCCCGTGCTATTTTGTCATCAAAATAGGCAATTTACCACATGAATCTTGGTTCTTGGTGGTGTAAAATGTTATATTATATATATATTTTTCATGTATATAAATTAAATCCTTATTGAATATGTACTGAAGGTTTGGTCTATATAATCAAAATTAAAGTACGTACCACATTGACCCTGGTTCTTGACAGGAGTGACAGCACCTTTCTTTCTCCAATCAACAGACTTTGGCAAATCCACAAAATCTCTGTATGCAAATTCTTGCTGGGATTTTTCTCTTTTGTTAAGCAATTCATTATCAACTTTGAGTCCTAAATACATCTTCTTGAACTCGTCATGGCTCAAATCAGCAAACTCATTTAGACCAAGCCAATAGTTACTAACTATCTTATTCGTCTCATCAATATGCTTCAAATTATCCTTGAAAATCTCAAATCTATGCAATTTCTCTTCAATGCTCTTATAAATCTTGCCATGTTTATCCATCCAATGCTCAAAAAGATTAATAAGCTTATCAATACAAGTCAAGTCATCTGAAGAATATCCCACGATCGAATGATCGCGAGCGAATGAGGTGCAGGCCAGGAGGGAGATAGAAAAAAGGACTAGAAGTGACAACTTGGAAATAGAGAAAAAAGCCATTTCTATTGGATTAGTAGCAGTAGGATTTAATATTGTTGGTGCTTAGAATGAATGAAGAATAGAAGGGGAGAGGTGAGGTTTATATAGTGTTGGAATTCTTGGTAAGTTTGCTTTGAAGCAAAGTATGTTTGTGTATATTAATTGTATATACTTACTAGAATAGAAGATGGAGTAGACGTAGCAGAAGTAGTAGGAAATTCAGTGCACGCTGAGACTTAAAGCATGGTGCTTTTTGACTTTGGATTGAAATGAAAGCTTGTTTCTTTCAAGATTCATAACTTCTGACGAAACATGTGATGTTATGCTTATATTCTTTTTTGTTTTTGTTTTTGCAATTGCTAAATGCTACTAATGATTTTGGTAGAAATGACACCAGGTAGCCATCCTAAAGGGTTATTATTTAGGAATTAGCCAATGTGTCCTGAATTTTAGTTTTTCAATTCAAATTTTTGGGGCGAAAATGTCCTGAATTATCCTGAAGTTGGAATTTTTAGTTTAAAATTTCAAGACAAAATAAGTACTGGCTAATTTGTAAATAGTATTCCTAAAAATGGCTATTTGTGCACTTGCACGATGAATTTTACTCTTATATGTGCTCCTTTTCATTTGATGTCGGGAAAATGATACTTTATAGCACTCTCAAAATAATAGTCAATTTTTTTTTTGTATACATCTACATTCTCTATGTTATATACAAGAATTATATAAATTTTATATATTTTTTCGACTATCTAATGTAAATAGTTTCTAATGTGAGCTAAAAATCACAATACCCCTTTCGAGTCTGCCCATGCAAGGCCCAACTAATGGTTTGGGCTCACACCAATCCGCACAAACTAGCATAAACATGTGGGCTCGTAAAGGCTATACATCTGAACCCAAATGAATGATGGGCATGTTAAGTTGCCCTTTTTGAGGCCACTATTTAAATTTTGTCCTCCGTTAGTTTAGCAGGTTAAGAAAAATTCATCCAATTTAACGCACTGAACTAACGAGGAGCAAATTTAAAAAGTAATCTTAAAAAAGGCAATACAATAGACATAACTAGTAAAATTAGTAGAAAACATGGTGGGGGAGCACTAAAGTGAGAGATAATTTAGTTCTAATGCTTGTTAATTAAACGAAGCTTTTAAGGCCACATTTTTTGGAGAAAAATAAAAGAGTTTGCATAATGTGTCTTTCGAAGTACGTATTGGAGTGAAAGAAGATTTTTTGGGTTAAAGAAATGCTCAATTCAAGAAGAATACTTATTATATTTAAATACTTTAATCAATTAGTAGTAAATTCTTTGAAGAAATAATTAATACGTAGATTTCGTTCGTTAACTTTAACTGCCGAAATTGTGTGTGTTATAAGACTGCTACTACTGAACCTCCTTAATATTTATTGAACGTAGCTAGTGGCAAGAAAACAAGGTGACAGAGACTGGGGTAAGAGTACGGACGCAGATAGCCAGTTTGAGTCATTGAATAAAGGTAAAAGAAGAAGTTGAAGGGGCCACGCGTAGGAGTATTAAAGTAAACAAAATTGAAGAGAGAGAGAGAGAGAAGTGAAATCTGTGTCTTGAAATTAGAGAGGAAACACATAATTGGACACTCTTGGATTTAGTGTCACACTAGGCACAAGAAAGCAATTGCCAAAACAGAAAGCGTGAGTGGGGTTATATATGATACTCTGCAATTTGCATATATATATATATATATATATATGCACCTCTCTACTACTAGTAGTAGCCTCACTATGGAAAGTGAATAGTGATGATGGTGGTAATATATGGTTGAGTACGGGCCGAGCTAGAATCTTAGCAGTGTGATTTCGGGTGAACTCAGTAATTTTAGTTCGAACCCTGTATTTATATATATATATATGGCCCTCTCTACTAACTAATAATAGCCT